ATGTGGGATATACATAACTCAACCACAATTCAAGAAATGAAGAATACTCTCTCCTTAGGATGTTACCTCATTCATCATGAGTTTTACTCTAAGATATAAAGAAAAGATAAGAATTATTAATTCGTTTTGCCATCTAATTGACTTTGATTTCAACTATGGTTTTTCATTACTATAATTCTCATATTTAGGGTTATTTAAATATAAATTATGTATTTTCATTGATATTGTTTCTTGTAACAAAAAGAATTTCATACATTTTCTTATTTATCTTTTTGCAAAAAAATGTTCACAATTAAAAATTGTTCAAAAATGGTTAGTTGCAAGAAAATATGCAATATTAACTGTTATTATGAGTTTACACAAAATTAGTCTTTCCAGTTTTGCATTTTAGCTTATAATGCTTGTTTTTCGGCTTAATTATTAACGAATTTTGAAATAGATTGCACATAAAAATTATAATTAACACCATTATTCAAAATTTGAGAGTATTAAAATTCCATAAATTTTCATTATCTTTGGTTGTTCTTTTAACATATTATTGATCATAGAATATGCCATTTTTTAATTAATTTTTTTAAAGTTGCTAGAAAAAATGAGATCAGCCGAAAAGGAACTTTGTAAATTTGTCACAAGTCCTTTTAATTTTGAAAGACATAATCTCCTCATTTGATATACACACCATCTCATTTCTATGGATTATATTCTCATCAATATGGGACAATCGAGGTAACATCACAAAATTTTGTATGTCACTTTTATAAAAAAAACATAAATTAAAATGAGGTTGACCAAAAAGAATCAGCACAAAAAAATTGTCACGGACCTACCCTATTAGTTTTGAAAATGATCCTTCTTTTCATATAAACATCATCTCATTTTATTAATTTATATTCTCACGAATGTAAAACAACCAAAGTAACACGTCTAATTTTGATTGATATATATTGATTTCATTTATTATCTCCTCCTTTTATATACTCACAAACATTTGTTATAATAATAATAATGATAACTTTTCTTTTGCAAAAAAACATTTGGTAGAATGAGACAACTCTATACTTTTAAACAAATATTTATTTTATAAATAAGTGACCAAAAGTTAAATTTAACCAACTTAAGAATTTTGCATTTAAATTCTTTATCTCTTCTTATATAATAATATTTTTATTGCAAAATCCATTCAACAAAAATGAGCCAAACTATATATTTTTAAACAAATATTATTTTTAGAAAATAATGGTGGTTAAAATTATCATCTCTTCCTTTTCAATAATCACTAATATTTGTTAAACATTATTCTCTTCATCGATGTGGGACAACCAACTTAAACTACAATCCAATATTTTTAAATTCTTGTATATAGTAACTCTTTTTTTGGAACCGGTTAGGCCAAAATGAGCCAACTATTGGTTTTTAAACAAATATTATTTTTGGAAAAGAATGATGGTCAAATATTACATTTAACCAACTCAAACATTTTACATTTCAATTCCTTATCTCTTCTTTTTATATAATCAATACTATTTGCCAAACATTGTTTTATCCATCAATGTGAGACAACCAACTTAAACTACAATCCAAATTTTGAGAAATTCTCAAACCTCTTTCTGCCATATCATTCACCCTTGGTTGTTCCTTTAATATATTTAGAAAAATAAGGTGGCTAAAAAGTTACATTTACACCAACCCAAGCATTTCACATTTCAATTCATTATTTTTTTTTTTCTTTTCATATACTCAGTAATATTTTATTTGTCAAACATATTACCTCCATCAATGTGGGACAACCAACTTAAACCACAATCCAATATTTTTAAATTATTTATCTCATCCTGTATATACTAACTCTTTTTTTTAAACTGATTCGGCCTAAATGAGCCAATTATATATTTTGAAAAATATATTATTTTTGGAAAAAATGGTGGTTAAGATTTACATTTAACCAACCAAAGTAATTCACATTCAATTCATCATCTCTTTCTTTTATATAGTCACTAGTATTTGTCAAACATTCTTCTCTCCATCAATGCGGGACAACCAACTTAAACCACAATTCAAGTTTTGAGAAATTCTCAAACCAAATTGTGCCACATCATACACCCTTGGTTATTTCTTTATTATATATATTGATGATTGATTGATTCTTCACCGGTTAGAACATTAACGCTCAAACCAGAAATCTCTCACGGTTAAAACATACACAAATCTCACTGGACACAAAAATCTTTAAGACTTATCGCTCAAACTCCTCAACTTCTCATCGGATTAAAACACAACTTATCTCTCCGGTCAAGATGTTCACCGTTCAAAGCATTAAAACTTTCTCACCGGACACAACAATTAATCTTTCAAGAACTATACACACTCTCATCGCTCAGAATTAAAACACTCATCTCTCAAAGTCTAATACAAAAAATACAGTCTTATCGCTCAACAGATCTCTCATCGTTCAACATATTAAGAACTCTTATCGGTCAAGCCTCCATTTCCGTAGCTTCTAAATTTGTACGGATCTTTTTCTTTCGGTGCAAAGACTATAAGGTGAACATCATTCTTTTTATGTGTTGTTGCTATTATGAACTGACATTTACCAAAACCACCTTCCCCATTGCAAACGCGTATTATAATCCCAACCTGCGGTAGGTTAAATGTACCTATTTGATAACCCCTTTGGGGAGGGTTTGAAGCGGAAGCTAAAAACGGATATTCTTCATAATTATACAAGTTACCTGGCACCTATGTGCAACTCAAATTTAAATTTTTTTCAAGTAGAAATCTAGATCTGTAAAGATCTTATACCAGCTGTGAGGTCGCAGTTTCAAATATCAATAACGATCAAGTAATTTCACAGTTCCAAATATTAGTAAGAGAACACAATATAAACTGATCGAATACAACAAATTTATATACACGAGATCTAGATATTGTATATTGTGATCCAATCATGAAATAATGATCCACGAGATTATATAAGTAGTAATAAACATATATACAATCAAATACTAAAACAACACGTAAACCGAGAGAACAAGATTTAACGTCGATAGTGTACTTCGACATGGAGAAAATGATCCATATAATACTAACTTGGGGGATTAAAACATGTTTACATAGATACTTGTATCACATTTCAGCTCAAAAGACGTGTTCCTTCGAAGCTTATGATATTTGGAAGTAAAAGGAACTTGACATAAATTTTATGATAAAGCTTACCAAAAGTTTCACAAAGGCAAAAACCTCAAAACAAGCTCCATGTGACTTGTGACCCCAAATCATGCGTTGTGGTTTGTGAGTCCACAGGCTCAGCAACGCTGTGGCCAAGCCCACGGTCCAGATCGCACAAAAACCCAAGGCGTATAGCTTGCAACGAGATCTACGCTGCGACCTCATGTAGCATACGTCCATGTGCTCTAAAAACATATACCTTGAGCTCTAAGTTTTGTAGAACATCATTTTAAGCCAAGATATAACTACGAACCCTTAAATTCATTTAGGGCTTGTTTGTTTTTTAAAAATTTCACTTAATTGCCTCTTAACTCTTAATCGGTCAGACATAAATGATTTCAGACTGTTTGTTTTTTTTAAAAATTAAGAGCTTTTTTACCTCTTACCGTTCTCTTAAAATTAAGTGGGAATCCTATGTCTGTAATCAATTTCAGAGCCGCATCCCATCTCCATCTCGCTCTCAACTCTCGATTTCTCCATCTCCATCTCGCTCTTCCATCTCCATCTCGCTCTCAGCTCTCGATTTCAAGGTCTCGCTCTCAGCTCTCGATTTCAAGGTCTCGCTCTCAGCTCTCGATTTCAAGGTCTCGCTCTTAGCTCTCGATGTCAACAGCTCACGATTTTTTGACTGCCTCTCCGTCCAAGCTCTCGATCTCTCGACTGCCTCTCCGTCCAAGCATCTCTCGTTGTGAAGGTTCGTGTTTATATTGATTCAGATTTCAGACGTAAAAACAAATAGTCTGACTGATTCAGATTTCCAGACTTCAGACGTAAAAACAAACAGTCTAACTGATTCAGATTTCAGACTTCAAAACCACCTCTTAAAATTCAGAAGTGAATTCAGACTTCAGACTTCTGCACCTCTTAAAAAACAAACGTCACCTAAGACAATTAGGGGCTGTTTGTTTTTAATAAAAAAAACTCTTAATGTCCTCTTAAGTCTGAATCGGTCAGACATAAGAGGATTCAGTGTGTTTGTTTTTTTTTTTCAATTAAGAGCTTAAAAGCTCTTATTAGGTCTGAAAATTTAAGTGGTTACGAAACCTCTTATTACCTCTTATTTCAAATCGTCGTCTACCTACTCTGATCTCTTTGCGCTCGATTTCTCTAGATCAACTCTTCTGTCTCGATCTCTCATCTCTCATTTGTCAACTGTCGATCCATATCAACTTTCGATCTCTCATCTTCAAACTTCAGATTTCAGACGCAGAAAACAAACAGTCTGACTGATTCAGATTTCAGACTTCAGCACAACCTCTTAAAAATCAGAAGTGAATTCAGACTTCAACACCTCTTAAAAGACAAACGCCACCTAAGTAACATTCATGGACAGACCAAATGTAGAGCACATGGTGGCCCGTGTTGCCGTATTGTTCATCCATCGTAGTGTAAAAAATTCTTAGGTCGTGAAAAGTGTCACCATATTAACCATATATATTTTGAAACTACAATAAAAACACAAGTTTCCCTTGGTAGAGTTGGTTTGCAAGGATTTTCTTTCACACTAAACCAACAATGAACTAACCAACAAACCATGATGATTTTGTGAAAATATCTTTATATTTGTTTCTTATAGTCAAATGATGTCACTGTTTGGAGAAAAAAAAAACCGGGTCCGTCCCTGGTAAGATTATCATATAAATTAGTACATCCTCACATGTTCTAAAATGTATGAAGATTATAAAAAATATATATATTATCTATTAGTTCGATGTTTACAATACGCTTAATAATAACAAGACGGATAAATTGTCAAAACGAAAAATATATGTTAATATTTTGATGAAATTTAACACGGAATTTTTATTTTTGACAAAATCGAAATAACCACTATTTACTCGTTAAACTAGGGGCGGTTTACCAAATGCTTACTTGGGTAAGCGTTTACCAAATTATATTACCTTATCAGATGAACATGGAAAGAACCATGAATCTTACTCGGTAAGAGCGAGGCAAGGACCTAGAGTCTTACCCGGTAATTGAGAGCAATCACTTTTACCACAGTCAACTCTATTTGTTGCATAGAAAGCTGATTTTGTTGACTAAAATTATACCCGGTAAGTAAATGATAGTGTTGAATTTTACTGCTACATGCTTACCAGGTAAGTGTTTGATAAACGGCCCCTAAATTATGAAAAAAACAACCACTTATTTACCTCCTACAATGGGACAGAAGTCAACGAGTTCTTCAGCAAATTCCTCCACCAAAACCCCCATGATCGCAACTTCAATACTCATCACAATCTCCTTTGCCAGCTCGCGATCATGCCTTTTCCACCCTTCACTTTTCTCCCTTCTCAATTCGTATTCCACCATCATATCAATCGTATTCGATTCCACCATCTTCCATGAATCCAACCTGCAGCACACCCTTTTCGACACCGCTTCGTGTTCTTCGTTCTTGTTTTCCTCCAAAATCAGGTCCGACACAAGCCGTTCAATATGTAACGGGATCTTCTCGACGCCCAAATGGCCGATTATAGCCCTCAAAGACACTTCACGGGCCACCGTTTCTTTTTCTACATATGTTACAACACCACGATAATCATCATTTTCGTCATCGTCACATCCTTCTACCATGTGTTTTTCAAGTGTAACCGGATCCAACTCCACAAGCCTCTCGAATCTACGAAGCTTTTGCAGAAGTTGATATTTCGTTCCTGTAAATTCGTCATGTGTAACATGATTAGACACAGTAAGACGTGGTGAAAGTCATATGATCCAATTATTACAGACCGACCATGATTCTTGGATGGCAATAGCAATACGATAAAACGAAACCAATTCAAATCAGGAAATACATGTTTCCATATTAGGAAAGGATGCAACTTGTTTTAAAATTCGAAATAGAAACAATTCATTCCAAAAGCCATTTCGTTTTCAAGACTCTTGAAGGTGACGTAACCTTGAATTAAGAAATATGTACGTATCTACCGGCAAAAGAGGAATTGGATTTACATGTCGTAACAGCGTCAAAACAAGAACATGTAAAGATGGATAGGTACACCATCTACGATTATTCATTAATGAATGGATCCCACAAATAATTTGCATACCCATCACTAGATTAATACAAACAACCAATAATTAAACCTGATTAAGACCCCCCAACCTCAAACTGGCCCACACAAAGTCCTGTCTAATGTCCATAATTAGAAATTATCAACGTCTCCTTCTCCTTCTTAACTTGTTGATCTTGTAACATTTGATAATTTACCACTATTTGGTTTACAAAATGTTCACAAGCGGGTATTCACGAGAGGAAACAATAGATTTGACATCCACGTCATCAAATATTTATAAGAGTAACGGATCGTTTACTGAACGCTTGTTAGGTAAGTGCTACCTTATTGATTGAGAATGATAACGACCTAAAAGCTTAGTCGGTAGGAGACGATGCAAAGACCGCAAGGCTTATTAGGTAAGTGTGTGGAAAACACTCTTACCCGATAAGCGCTTACCGGTTTTAACACGCTTACCAACAACCCATTTTTATGGCCGAAAATGTTACACAAATTGTAATTGAGGGTGGTATCTCTTGCCAATAAGCGCTTACCCGGTAAGCATTTGGTAAACAGCTCTTAACACTTACTGATCCAAAGGTGTACTATTTGGGACTTACTTTGAAGATTGGCATAGCTGCTTTCGAGGTCGTAAGCGTCCCCTTCGACGACATCGTATTCGTGTTCATGGTCTTCGAATGGAGGGTCCAGGATGGATACCGGACTGCATTGTTCCTCATCTTCAACATTGATTTCTTTACTCCGCTCGACGTCATAATTTTCTTTATCCTGTAAAAGAAGTTTGGATTTCAATTATAATTTCATGAATCTTGATTTTTTTTAAAACCATTTACATTGTTTAGATGGGTTAAATATTTGCGAGAAAATTATAACAAAGTTTGGTTTAATCATTACTTAGGGGCGGTTTACTAAACACTTACCCGGTAAGTGTTAATTGGGTAATTTTCCTTACCGAATGAACATGACAAGGGTCAAAAATCTGACCCGGTAAGTGCAATGATAAAGATGAAGAGTCTTACTCGGTAAGTGAAGGTGACGTCTCTTACCCGGGTAAGCGTTTACAAAGTAAATTGTTGCATACGATACCATTTTGATTTACTACAATCTTACCCGGTAAAACAAATTACAGTGTTGACTCTTACCGGGTAAGCTTTTAGGTAAACGGCCCCTTAGTTTAATGAAATTTTTTTCTCGATCGATAGAACAAAGTTGTAAAATGTCCAATTTTATACATATTTTGACTGGTAACTTGTTAATCTAGTATCAAATAATTACATGGTTACCAGCTCATATAGCAACAATTTATTGGTAACTTATGGGTCGTTTACTAAACATTTATCTGGTAAGTGCTTACTGGACAATTTTCATCAACGGATGAACATGACAAGGGCAAAAAAATCTTACCCAGTAAGAGCGATGATAAGGATGGAGAGTCTTACCCGGTAAGTGAATATGACGACTCTTATCCGGGTAAGCGTCTACCGGGTAATTGCTGCATAAGATATCGTTTTGATGCACTACAATCTTATCCGATAAAATAAATTATATTGTTAACTCCTACTGGCAAGCACTTACTGTATAAGCATTTAGATAAACGGCCTCTTAATATTTTAGTACAAACATCTCTAATAGATTTTTCAGAATTAAGAATATAGAGATTTAAATTATTACTTCTTTTACTATATCAAATTCTTCAAAACTTTCGAAGAGAAATGGCACACCTCAAAATCTTTGAGTATACCTAAAAATGTTAAGGAGAGATATAATGTTTTTTATTTTCACCAATACCATTTAAAATTAAATTTGTGAAGATAAATAATTGTTTTATTAAATTTATTTAATGTATTAATATTGAAATATCAAAAATAAAGAAACCGTTAAAATTGAGTGAAATTTTTTTAATGTTTTATTTAAGAGGTTCTCATGATATAGTATAAAATATAATTGTTTGGTAAATGTTTACAATTGAAATTAGGGCGTTCAATGGTTAAGGGAGGCACATGATAGAAAATCATTCAGAGAGTTTTAAAATCATTAAGAAGTAGACTTTTTTTTGTCAAATAAGATTCACCTTTTAATTGAACTATTAAGAGGTAAAGAAACAATCAGTAATCTTTTAAAATGATAATTTTGTCCCTTTTCATGGGTTTGAATCTTGAAAATTGTCTACTGACTTTCGTTATTCTAGCAAATTATTTTACCATGCGTGGATTATGTTGATGAGGATAAAAATGGAAAACCAACAAATTGTTTTGTCCTTTTTGGGAATTTTAACCAGGATTTGTTCAAGTGAAGGTTTTGTGGCAGAGGGTGTCATCAATGGCAACAGGCCAATAGCAACCCTTTTAACATTAATCAAAATGACACAAACACCCTATCTCAATTCAGGGATGTTTGGGATTGCTTATTTGAAACAACTTACGTTTTTTTTATAAAACATTAATCAATTTATTATAAGTCAAAATAATTTCACTTTTTCAAAACCTCTTTATTACCAATTTGGTACCGGTATAAATTGTTTATCTAATAACTCAAAAATATTTATTAACGATGTCACATCAAAATAAGTCAATAAGTTATTTTTATAAGCAATCTCAAACACCCAATTCCCCTCCAATTGAGCTTACGCACTGCTAACTGGCCTTAACTCGGACATTTAGCATCTCTAGTTAGCTTGCGATTAAATTGGTGTGTCATAAGAAATTGAGAAAATTAGAAGACAGACAAGAAATAGAAACCTGTCGGAAGCGACGGCTCGGAGATGTCGCCGGCGATAAGAAATCCGGTGTCCGGTGACCTGTGGAATGGCTTTTCTGGAGAGAGAAATGAAAAGGGCTAGAAGGGTTTGAGCAGATGCACATGGCAGATAAAGACGAAACATGATTTTCAGCCACTAGACCCAGAGATTGAATCTCACACGACTCATGAACCGAGATTGAACTGCATGAAGTCTCCGATTCCGACGATTTTTCCGACCAATCTGCACTACTAAGCTTACTGTAAGCACAACCGTTAGCATCCAAACTAATTTCGACGTCGTTTGCTGTCTTTTTTCCCCTAAATTGTTTTGTGGGTATTGAAGATTTCGTATTGTTTAAAGAATTGATTTCATGTCGTTTGGTTTGGGTGTTCTTATGCTTTAATCGCTTGAGAAAAGATCCCAATAACCCGAATCCGACATTCTTCGAAGGTTGTGGTTTAGTTTTTGAAGAAGATTGCTTCTGTACCCTCATGGCGGCGTCAAGTAACACGGCAGACGTCCTTGTTGGGACATTGAGGAAGACGGCGGCGTTACAGGGACTTGTCGTTGCCGGCGAGGGGAAATCAATAAACGGAGAGTTCCTAACGTCCGGGGAGTCTTGGAAAGTGAAAAGACATGCATGGTTGATGCAGAATTTAAGAGTGGTTGTGGGTTCAATAACTGGTTTCCGTTTAGTGACGGTGGTTGTTTCTGTCAAATTGAGCTGAGAACGGCGGTCGGCGATGTAATTCTTGAGCTTAAAGGGCTCTTGATCTTCTCTGAGCAACTCATGTAGATGGGTATGAGCCATCATTACGAACACTTTATTCCCCAATTACCATCGCAATCATTTCAACGAGAGAAAAACAGCGAAAACCGGAAAAGTTGAGGGTTTTGGGTTGGGAGCCATGATAGAAGAAGGTGGTTCCTAATTTATACTCCGCTTTTATTTTAAATAAATAACAACCAATAATTTGGTATTATTTAAAATAATTTTAAAATATAAGTAATAATAGGTTTTTATTAAAATAATTGCAATAAAACATAGAAAAGAATGCAAAAGAAATTGAGTGAGTTTGTTTACGGAGAGAAAGTTCTACTCGTGAAATTAAACAAATCTAAAAGAGATTAATTAAATATGTAATAAAGAAAAAGCATTGTAGGTCAATCCATTGGCCATCCATTGAAGCTATTTAAATGATTGTAGGACTATTTATTCTCTTTGTAGCCCCGTTAATGTTCAGGATAGATGTAATCATAAGGATGGTGTTTGAAGCTTAAAATGTCTTAAGGTCATATGTTTAAATCTAAGGAGAAATAAAAATCTTTTAGTAATCATGGAGGTTTAAATACGGTAACTCCAACCTACCCGTAAAACATGTGGTTGTTCTGAGATTAGTCAACTCGCTGTCGTATAACGAGTTGGATATCCAGATTAATAAAAAAAAACTTTTATAATTATGTATTTTGGATATTTTTGTTGCAATATTATATTTTTTTAACTTTTTCTTTATTTAATATTGTGTTTTTCACCCTAATTTTAAGAGTTATGATAATAGTTTAGTTGCGGTGAATTAGCTTGAACATTAAGATTTGTTTTTCAAGTTGTTTTTGGAAAGATTGAATTACATTTTCGATCCCTTGCTTATGGTTGTTTTTGGTTTTCTTCTTTACGATTCTTAAAGTACAATGATGGTCTAAATTTCGTGTTTCAAAGAACAAATCGATCCCTCCACTTAACAATGCTAAGAAAATGCTTCGTTAAGTCACTTATGTGCCCCTCATGTAAGGGGCATTTTTGTCTTTTTATGCCTAAATTCATAGTGAATTACATTTTTATCTCTCGTCTATGGTTGCTTTTTAGTTTTCATCCCTACAATTTGTAAAGTACACTGGTAGTTTATTTTTCATGTTTTGAATCCCAAAATGGTCCGTCTTTGGATAATATTTCTTCGACAAACTCCACCCCTCAGTGAGAACCCCTGTTCTTAGATATGGTTGTGAAGAACATGTGTTTTCATCCTTCTGTGTTTGACAATGGTTGAGAATCTAGGGCTGGTGCTTGTGGTGGTGTAGTTCATCGTTCATATCGGGGGAGTTTTCAACAGTGGATGGCATAAGGAAGGATTAAAAGAATATGGGTGTAACAACTTGCATATCCACATAATATATACCACAAAGTTTTATACATAACAAGCCATATTAGGGTTATAAATTAGGTCTCATTCTGTAAAATTCCATAACTGTCTGAAACTCAAAATAATATGAATATCAAAATTAAACTTCATACAACTCTTCGATGAATTTCACGTATAAAAATCCAAATTGTCAACCTCATAAAATTTCTTTTTTGTTTACAATCTAAATGTTGCTGCTCTGGAATGCATATTTTTTAAAACAAAATGAGGTTTCGACTATATGGTCTAATGACGAAATCTCTGTCAGTGCAATAGTTGCAATAAAACTAGTTCATGTAAACCTTCTCAAATCAGTAAACATATATATAGCTAGCACCCAGGCACAATCCAGTTAGTCAGAAAATATTTAAATTTGTTAGTCATTAGTTGGCACCAAGGTTCAACATCCCTCCCAGAAAATTAGCCATAATAGTCGCCACTAAAAATCGCACACACCCTGATAAAGTTGCAATCAATATTGATTTTGGCCCACTACACGAAAAGAATTTGTGGGTAATATATAGAATCCCCTCCCACGCACGGACCATCACAGTCACAACTTCTGATGTGTAAGTCCCTTAAACCCAATAATTAATAATCACCACCAATGTTAATTTCCAACAATAGGTATTCAAAAACCGTATCGCATATAACGTTAATAATTCAAACATACCAATATGGTATAACATCGAAGTAATAATCCATTTGATAATATATGCATTTCAGTTCGAAAATGACTACCAGAAACTCACCTTGATAACGACAAACGAGAAACTTAAACTTTAACCAAAACAAACGATGGAAATCGAACACTTGAATCTGAATCAGGTAAGTATGGATCACAATTTAAATAAATAAACTCCACCATAATTCGAAGCAATCTCTAAGGTACCTAAACGACAGGCCGAAAGACCCCAAAAAGACAGGAAAGAGAATCGAAAACCATAAAACATAGTAGAATGCGACTTTTATGTGACCCAAGTCACATATAAGTAGCTTTGGCCACTGGATGAAATTTTATCCCTTGTTTTAAACTTGCATTTCTTAAAAACCAATCCCAAATCCAAGCTCTTAGATGCTTTAACTTGCAAAATAAATCCATAAACTCAACCAAACCAAAGAAGCAATCAAACCAAAAGGTTGATGCCACATTTTACCAACTACTCTTTGAAAGCCAAAATATGGATACCTAACCGTACTCTTCCAAAATTGGAAAGGAACCAAGGTTTCACCACGAAAAACACTTTCTTTCGATACAACTGAAAACCATAACAAAACAACAAGTTTGAAACCTCCTACAAAAGGATTTAAGATGAAACCCAAATTCATCAAAAAGAAACTTTTCTTACCAAAAACACATAAGACCAAGAAAACCCGAAATCAAAAGTGGAAGATGAACATACATTTTTTTAACAAAAATCTCAAATAAACCTCAATCCCTTTTCTCCTTTTTCCTTCTTTTGGTACGAGTTCTCTCTAGTAAACATAATAGACACACAAACACGTTTTGTTGGGTAAACCTAATCTGGAAGAAAGCGAAAGAAATGAGGTGGATATAAATATATAAAGTGAACGTTTCAAACTGAACTCTCAACTAAAAGTCAAATATTCTTAAGCCTCTGAACTTTCCCAATTTAACCTATGTCTTTTTTTTATTAACCTGGATATCCAACTCGCTATACGAGCTGACTAATCACAGGGCGATCATCTGCTTTGCAGATAGTCCGGAGTCATCGCATTTGAACCTCCGTGGCCACAAGGGGATTTTTATTCGTCCTTGGATTTGAACCTGGGACCTCCTGGTACTTTTGACCTTTAGATCCAAACTCAAACCAATCAGGCACCACCCTTGTGGTTAATTTATTCTATGTCTTAATAACCAAGGTTATTACAATATCTCCTCCTCAAAGGAATTTTGTCCATGAATTCTTCCACTCGAACAAACAAGGATATTTGGATTTCATTTCCATTTCTAATCCTCGGGTAGCTTCTTAGCACTTATGATAACACCACTGAACCTTTATTAAACCAATATCTTTATTTCTCATATTGAACACATAAAGGTACTGTGAATACTATTCAACTTCTCTAGACGTTTTAATCGAGAAGTTATCTCACAAATCCGATCACTGATCACTGATACGTACTAAGTATTTAGTACGTAAAGTACCTTTTTATTCTCTTTTAGATAGGTTATTTTCTATTCATATCCCAACTTTGAGTCATTTTATCTCTTTTATCTGTTTTTATGCTAAGAAGAATGATGAACCTGTTTTTAGTGGATTTTGGTCTAAATTAAGCTTATTTTGACAGATTTGAGCTGTGAAAATGTGGTAGCATAACCTGAAGGCAGATGAAGAGATGGATGAGACTTGGAGTTGACTGACAAGACCATGGGATGACATTTGAGAGCCTTCTAAAGTTGAACCAGCTGTAGTTGATCAGATTAGCTAGAGCATTACAAGACTAATTATAGTTGCTTTCTAAATATTAGTTTACCTTATTGTACCATTAGTTTACTTTAGTGTACTTTCTAGTTTCTTTAGAACTAAAAGTGTGTGAATTGTCTATTTTGCCCTCACTCCAACCTTGGTATAAATAGGGGTTGTTGGGAAGAGTTTAGACACAACTCACTACCACACCACTCCATATTCTCTCTTGTTTCTCTCAAGTAGGTTGACATCCTACTTGAAGAACAAGTTTTCTAATATTACAAAACTTTTGGCATTTCAAGTTCTTTAATCGCTTTCCATTTACTTGCTTTATTTAATCGCTTTATTTATATTATCATTATTTATATTCCGTCTTTTATTTATTTACGCTAACTTGCATTTTATTTCCGTCATTTATTTATTACGCTTTCCGCATCTTTATTATTCCGTCATTTATATTCTGTCATTTACTTTCCGCATTTAGTTTATGTCTTTACTTATAGCAATTTACATTTCTCGTTATTTACTTTTCGTCATGAGTAGCTAATTTTATTAGCTCGGGTGTATGACGAAAAGGGTGGGTTTTTAAACCAAAATATAGTCGACCCTTTCATGTAACAACAATGTTTTACTTTTTCATTTCAAGTTTTATAAAACTAATGACACTTCTTGACGAGTTGATCACTTTGAAAGTGTTAAAGTGCCGTGGACTCTAAGCTGAACCATTGTTTGCACGTCAACTTGGATGATATGGGAAGTAGACTTGAGAGAGTTGCTAACAAAGAGATTTGKTGTCCGTATTTTCTAAGTTGTTAATTCTCGACGGGTTGATCACTCTAAAGTGTTAAAGTGGAATGGATTCAGAGATGAACCATTCAGAACACKTCAACTTGAATGATATGGGAATCCACTCGAGAGGGTGATTTTTAACAAAGAGATTTGTTTATCTATATATACTTTGAAGACACCATTTGTCACTTTCACTGGTCTGGATACCTCATAGAGATACGGGTTGAAAGCTATAATATCAGTGCATTGGTGAAGTCCGAGAGGAATACCTTCAACGTAATTGGTAAAAATAGTTGTTACTGATTGCATGCTGTAKCAATCTGTCAGCATGGTTTCATGCTGTAGCATTTTGACAGCATTGGTTGACTGGAAAAAAATTTCACATCTCACCCTAAAAGTCATACACCCTAGCTTGCTTTATATTCTGTTATCTCCTGTTTTTAGTTGTGTTAACGCTGTTCTAATC